GATTTCAGAGAAGTTAAATATAAATGAAAGTGAGATCATGAAATTCAACATCACAACTATCGGTGAATACCTCCATCAAATGAAAATATACAATTAAAATAAGTTATTACATTATTTACAGTACCGCTCGCGTATTTGTTAACATACGCTACGCGTATGATACGAGATCGATGCGCGTATGATGAGCGTATAATGCATGAACGATAAGCGTACGTATGATACGAGGATGAAACGCTGTGATACTTGATAGAACTTTGTTCATCGTAATGAGCGGCACTATACACTTAAGAAATTTTCACCATGAAGGTGTTAAAAGGAACAATAAAGCAAGTTTTTATAAATGATACCATTCTAGTTCATGTAAGTTATGCATCCATAAATTTTGGGTTGCTTTAGTTTCAATGAAATGTGTTTATCTCACGTCGTATCTAAGTATCACTGATCTGATCTGTCTACTATCAGATCAGTGCTAAGTATACATATGACTCATCAATGACGTATATAGTTTGTGACACATCCTATGAAAATGGAAAGTCATTGTGATTAGTTTGTTTTTAGATTCATCCAATGTTGCGTGTGCTATAAACATAACAAACGACACGATAACAATTGCTTTGTAGCACAATGATGACATAAAAAAGTGTCAGTATACTCTTAAGATATTTTATTCACGAAATAGTTTAAAAGCACGATATAGCAAAAGAATTTTTTAATAGATGATCTTATATATACATGTATATGTTATGCATTAATAAATTTTGGATTGCTTTTGCTATAAGCTGCTATTGTCTCACGTCGTATCTAAGTATACATATGACTCATCAATGACATAGCTGAATAGTTTGTGACACATTCTTATATAAAAACGGAAACTAATTGTGATAACATAAGTCATGGTTTTTTGAAAAACTATATTGAAGAAAAACTTCAGCATCTAAAGGGTTAAGTTTAGGACATGGAAGCAACATATCACAAATCGAAAGAAAACTATATTGAAACCATATACGAGAATATTAAGAAAGTAATACGGGTATGACACGAGAACGACATGCGTATAAAATGAAACGATACGCGTGTGATACGAGAAGGACACGCGTATGATACGAGAAGGATACGCGTATGTTACGAGAAGGATACACGTATGATACGAGAACGATACGCGTATGATACGAGAACGATACGCGTATGATACGAGAACGATACGCGTATGATACGAGAACGATACGCGTATGATACGAGAACGATACGCGTATGATACGTGAATAATACGCGTATGATACGAAAACGATACGCGTATGACACGCGTATTATACGCAAAAATTATGTTAACAAATACGCAAGCGGTACTGTAAATTGCATATTTCTCAGTTATCAAAAAGAAGAGTGTCACAAAAATTAAGGGAGTAATTCCAACTATAAACAGGAAGAAATAATGAATCGATTGTCATGGTTCCTCAAAGATATGGATTTACTCTCACGAAAATGACCCAACAAACACTCCACTCATTTTAAGGAGCTTAACAACTTCAGACTAGATAGATTACAAACTTACTAATCTTAAATACACTGCAAAAGTTCCGTAAAAGTTTCTTAGCCTATAGAAATAACTGTTCCAGTAAATAAATGACTACTGAAAACTTGAAAATACAAATGTTTATATTGAATATCGTCAAGAATATATTTAAACTTTTTTATATACAACTGTTGTTGTTTGTGTAAATTTTTTCCTTAATTCACGGAACCACAAATCTATTTCGTTTTTCCTTCTATTTCGTTGTAAATTTTCTCAAACATGGAAAATATTTTGGCAACTAGCGATTTAAAGGTGCAGTGTCAATTACTATAGATGGTTTATTACCAAATGAAGATTGTCGTACATTATTCCAGAATTAACATATCAGGACTTTTGTTTGAAATTGTATTGCTCGTTCATAAAAATGTTTTTTCTTTTTCGTACTCTCCCATATTTTTGTAAACCAAACCCAGATTATTGTACGTTGTCGCAATATTAACATGGTCACGTCCAAATGCTTTCGTTTGAATTTCCATCGCTCGTATGCAAAAATGTTTGGCTTTTTCGTACTCTCTTATTTTACTGTAAACAAAACCCAGATTGTTGTATGTTGTCGCGATATTAACATTGTCAGGTCCAAATTCTTTCGTTTGAATTTCCATCGCTCGTATGCAAAAATGTTTTGCTTTTTCGTACTCTCCTATTTTACTGTAAACAAAACCCAGATTGTTGTACGTTGTCGCAATATTAACATGGTCAGGTCCAAATGCTTTCGTCTGAATTTCCATCGCTCGTATGCAAAAATGTTTGGCTTTTTCTCTATCTCCTAAACAAACAGATTGTTGTACGTTGTCGCAATATTAACATGGTCAGGTCCAAATGCTTTTGTTTTAATTTCCATTGCTCGTTCGTAAAAATCTTTTGCTTTTTCGTACTCTCCCATATTTTTGTAAACCGAACCCAGATTGATGTACGTTATCGCAATATTGACATGGTCAGGTCCAAATGCTTTCGTTTGAATTTCCATCGCTCGTATGCAAAAATGTTTGGCTTTTTCGTACTCTCCTATTTTACTGTAAACCAAACCCAGATTTTTGTACGTTGTCGCGTTATTAACATTGTCAGGTCCAAATGCTTTCGTTTGAATTTCCATCGCTTGTATACAAAAATGTTTGGCTTTTTCGTACTCTCCTATTTTATTGTAAACCAAACCCAGATTTTTGTACGTTGTCGCGTTATTAACATTGTCAGGTCCAAATGCTTTCGTTTGAATTTCCATCGCTCGTATGCAAAAATGTTTGGCTTTTTCGTACTCTCCTATTTTACTGTAAACAAAACCCAGATTGTTGTACGTTGTCGCAATATTAACATGGTCAGGTCCAAATGCTTTTGTTTCAATTTCCATTGCTCGTTCGTAAAAATCTTTTGCCTTTTCGTACTCTCCCATATTTTTGTAAACCGAACCCAGATTAAAGTACGTTGTCGCATTATTAACATGGTCCGGTCCAAATGCTTTCGTTTTAATTTCCATTGCTCGTTCGTAAAAATCTTTTGCCTTTTCGTACTCCCCCATATCTTGGTAAACCAAACCCAGATTGCAGTACGTTGTCGCAACATTAACATGGTCCGGTCCAAATGCTTTTGTTTCAATTTCCATTGCTCGTTCGTAAAAATCTTTTGCTTTTTCGTACTCTCCCATGTTTTCGTAAACCGAACCCAGATTACAGTACGTTGTCGCAATATTAACATGGTCAGGTCCCAATGCTTTTGTTTCAATTTCCATCGCTCGTTCGTAAAAATCTTTTGCTTTTTCGTACTCTCCCATATTTTTGTAAACCAAACCCAGATTATTGTACGTTGTCGCAATATTAACATGGTCACGTCCAAATGCTTTTGTTTCAATTTCCATTGCTCGTTCGTAGAAATGTTTTGCCTTTTCGTACTCTCCCATATCATCGTAAACTGAACCCAGATTGCAGTACGTTGTCGCAATATTAACATGGTCAGGTCCAAATGCTTTTGTTTGAATTTCCATTGCTCGTTCGTAAAATTCTTTTGCTTTTTCGTACTCTCCCATATTTTTGTAAACCAAACCCAGATTATTGTACGTTGTCGCAATATTAACATGGTCACGTCCAAATGCTTTTGTTTCAATTTCCATTGCTCGTTCGTAAAATTCTTTTGCTTTTTCGTACTCTCCCATATCATCGTAAACCGAACCCAGATTGCAGTACGTTGTCGCAATATTGACATGGTCAGGTCCAAATGCTTTTGTTTCAATTTCCATTGCTCGTTCGTAAAAATCTTTTGCTTTTTCGTACTCTCCCATATCATTGTTAACCAAACCCAGATTGTTGTACGTTGTCGCGTTATTAACATGATCTGGTCCAAATGCTTTTATTTGAATTTCCATCGCGCGTTCATAAGAATCTTTTGCTTTTTTGTATTCTCCATTCTTCCAAAGCAACCCACACAGCTCGTTGTACGAATATGAAACATCAACATGATTGACACCTAACACTTTAGTTTTAATTGTTATTATATCCTTAAGTACATTAATGGCCTGTTTATAGTTGCAAAATTTTTCTAACACATTTACAAAGTAAATGGCAATTTTAAAATTTTTTTCATCAATTTTTTGTTTTGATGATTTTACATCGATCAACTTGTTTAGGAAATGTTGAAATGATGAATTTGTTATGAATTTTATTAGATGTGGAATTATTTTGATTTGATCTTCTCTGTCTTCAAAATGATAGAGTGCCCAAGCGACTTGACACGCAAGTATAGACATCTTAGTCGAATTATTGTCTTTTTGTTTACTGCAAGAGGTCTTCCAAGATTGATAATTAATGATGGCTTCATGTACAACGCGATGCAGGCGAATGTCGTTGTTTTTTGATTGAAGAATTAACGAACAATGCTTTAATTGAAGGCATATATCTTCTGCCGACTTATGTGGATCAATGCTTTTAATAAATTGTATGATAATATCTTGTGGTAACGGATCGAAAGATATTATCGAGAAAAGACCAAAAACTTTTTCCATTACTATGGATTCTTGAGTACTTTTTTGTACTGCCAACTCAACAGTTTTCAATAAAGTTGATTCACCTCCAGAATATGCTTTATTGATCTTTTGAAATGTGGCATCCATGCTCTGTCGCTCTCCTTCATTCAACTTATCGAAATATTGCTCCCACGTGAATTCCAGATTTGCACTTTTTACACTACCTACGTAGTAAGCAGCACTTGCCAGGACCAATGGTTGACGATCTAATTTTTCTGACAAATTCTTTAAAAACTCTTCATTATGATTATGAATATCGGTATAGACAGATAGAAGTTGACGACATTCTTTATCATTCATACCATGACTGATTGAAATGTGTTTTTTTAGATTTCCATCTGGTGGTATAGCATCTGTATTTTGGACAGTTATTATAATTTGTCCATTTTTCCAGTTATGATCACCAACTTGAGGTAATAATGGATAAATTTTATCAAGTTCAACCACGTTATCTACAACAATCCACCATATTTTCCAAGATTTCAGTTTTTGTGTCAGCAGGAAATGAAAGTGTTTGATTCTGTCTTCGCTGCTTTTTACCTTTTTTAAAACATTTTCAATCAAATGTTCATGGATATTCAAACGTTGACAAAGTTCATTATAAGTTTTTAAGAGAGAGTCAGCATCTTTTCCTTCGAGTGTCATCACAAATGTAGTTTTATTTTCCCAGTCAACAGAGTTAAACATTTCGTCACAAATTTGTCTAGCTAATTGAGATTTACCACTGCCAGAATTACCAGAAATATAGTAATATGTAAGTTCATTATTGTTAGTACTGCGCAAGTTATTGAGATCTGCTGTGATTTGATTAAGTAATGTTGTACGTTTAACTACATGGTGATTTGGTTTGCAAGGAAGTACTTGAAATGAATCAAATCTGTTTCGTTCACATTTAATTTGATTAATTTCAGTGAATGAAAATCCTACATCTTTAAATGACTTTTCAATATCACCGACCATTTTGTGGAATTCGGTATCAGATACTTTACCTTTATTTACATGGGTGAATTTGTTTCTTACATTACGAATTTCATTTACTGCATCTCTAACTTTTGGGTCAAGTTTTGTTCCAACTGAGTTTGAAAACAATATTGCTGCAAACATTGTTGTACAATCCCACTTACTGGTGTCACCATCTTGAAAAGTGTGCAGAATATGTTTGTCATGAGGTTTCTTTTTTGTTTTTTCAATATTGAACAACTTTTGACCACTAACGTTTGTATTTTCCCATCGTCCAAGAGATTTTATATAATGTTTGTCCCATTCTTGGATAAATAAATCAGCAAGTTTCTTTTCAACGACATTTGTAAGTATTTCTTGTATAAAGTAGTTATTCCTTTTTTCTCTTGACTCCATCTACGGATCATAAAATGATGATAAGATGAGCACTAAATATTTATAAATACAATTTATGGACAACTGAAATAGTTGAAGATTAAGTTGGTAAATTTACAATTGTACATGAAATTGGTTAACCAAGGTGGCAGGGGAAACAGAAAAGTATTTCTGTGGCAGTTGAGCAAGTTGTTAAAAACCTTTATAAAACATAATTTTAAGTGTAGCCAAGAGCAATGCAAGCAGTTGGTCTATAGGTGTGTTTGCAAACCGGTCTGAGCTCTACCAATTAAATCAATTAATCAATTTAATGGAATTTGCAGATCAATCAAATTCATGTTAGAGGAAAAGTTAAAACGTTTTTCTATTTTGCCTGTTTCTTATCATTGAATGCACTATGTTTTTATAAAAAACAAACAAAAGTGTTTGGGCTGGCTTATATCAAGTTTGGAGAAGTTGTGAATTCTCCCAAAGGCCTCAACAGTGCAAATAGTAAATGTGTAAAAATCTTTTATAAATTAACTATCTACATGCCATGCAGGTCATTTTATCACTTCACCGATAATATCATTAATAAATGTACTTTGTGTAACTTACCATAATAAGACACATGACCAGTTCATTACTATGAAATATGTGTAAAGTAAGAATAACGTAATATTAAAGAAAACATGACCAGTTTATCCACAACACTATCAACACACGAACATCGACTGAGTTGCATCATCCTAATCATTCCCGAATGCGTTTCTACAATGAATTTTTATGTAAAGCTGACACAGACTGCGTATAATCGGTATAAAATAATTACGAATATTTGTTGCAATTAATCATTCCATATAGTTATCTAAAGCAAAACTTTATCGATAATGCAGTCGCACCACACAGTATAAGAGTTTAAAAATTTTAGTTATATTAAAAAAAATCAATATAATAATAGTATTTTACATTAATTTATATTTAGCTGTGACAAAGGTCTTTTAAATCTGGTTTGTTTTCCGTTGGCGATGCAGAATATGCATCTTTAACATGAGATTTGAATGAGACGTGACAAATGAATAAAAAAAGTTTCATTCTTTACCTTCCATACAGAAAAACAGTGGGGATCAGAACAATTAAAACTGTGTGACGAGTGACGTGTCACTATTTGAGTAAACATGTTATTAAACTTATAGCTTTGCTATATGAATATTATTTGAGATAAACTATTGAAATAAATCGGAAAATATCAGAAGTTTCCATTACTAAATCGTTACAAACGCAAATTTATTGAAAAATCCCATTAGAATCAACAAATGTTATCCATATAAAACATATACGTAACGCGGAATGGACTTTATCACAAATTTTTCTTGACATAAAGAAATAATTGATAAATGGAGATAAAATATTAAATCCCAAAATTAAAATACATTATTACAATGACAGGTAAACTTTAAAATCAACATACCTTCACAAATTGAGAAGGATTAAAAAGATGCAACCAACTATATGATGTCTTTGCTTTTGCTTGATAATAAAGAAATTGGAATGTTCACTAAATGTTCAATTTTAATCACCTGCTGTTTTTATTGTAAAATTTTGAATACTGTTCATAACAGCGAAGCGATAGAGTGGGCAATGCAAATTTTATAGCTAGATAGCTGACTTCGCGACACTATATGCATGTAGATAAAATTTGGTATCAAACCAATTTGCTTATTGGCTATAAAATGATAAATTAAATTAGCTAGTTTACAGACAATGACCATTAAGATGAAGATAACTGGAACACTACCTTTGAAGCCAAAAATTGCGGGACTATGGACACGCGTGTAATGTTAGGGTAAATAAGATAACGTTCCATTGAGAGATTTTAAACTTATTGGTCATGCCTTTAAAAAGATATTTTGTGATTTTACTATGATAAATTCCTAATCAATCAAGTTCAAGAAAAATGCTGAAAGAAAGAGCTCAAAAATAGATTTAATATTAACGTTAAGTGAAAATTATTGGATTTAGGAATATAGGATTGTTGAATCAGTTTGTAGTTAGAAGCAGAGTTTATGGAGGTTATAGGAATTTGGTTATGCGGTAAAACAATTAAGTTGTTATGATCAAGAATAACTTTGTAAGAATTTGAAATCAAGTTGTGAAGCTTGAATTACAGTTATGACTTTGTGTTGTAAAGATATCTAATATAAGGAATAGGATAGTGGGAGGAAGTCGTTACATGATCACATTCACAGATGACTACTCTCGGTATACTGTGGCATACTTCATCAAAAGCAAAGATGAAGCACTGACAAAATTCAAAGAATTTGTGTCCCATGCTGAAAATCAAAAGGGTCGTAAGTTAAAAATTTTGAGAAGTGATAACGGGGGTGAATATAGGTCGAAGGAGTTCACCAAGTTTTGCGCTGACAAAGGTATAATACAGCAATTTACATGTCCTTATACACCTGAGCAGAATGGTGTAGCCGAGCGTCTAAATCGTACACTCATAGAATCAGCTCCATCAATGATATACCACGCAAATCTTCCATTGCACTTTTGGGCTGAGGCGTGTAGTACTGCAGTGTACATCCACAATCGAAGTCCCACAATGAAGTTGAAGGATAAAACACCTTTCGAGTGTTTGTTCGGAGAAAAACCAGAAGTTTCCAACCTTAGAGTGTTCGGATGCATTTGTCACGTTTTCATTGCTGACAGCAAGAGAAGAAAGTTTGACCCAAAGTCCTATGAGGCTATTTTCGTAGGCTATCCTTTAAACACGAAGGGTTACAAGGCGTATGATCCAAGACAAAATAAATTTGTAGTTAATTGTAAACTTTGTAAAGTTTTCAGAGAAGAGATTCTTTCGTTTTGAGCGATCAGGGGACGAGAATGAAAGAATGACTAACGACACGGAGAATGATCTACACGTGGCTCTTATACAACCCAAGGAGGACACAATCACCGATGCAAATAATCCAGTTGAACGTATCGAGCAGCCAGACGAACCAGTGGGAGAACCAGAAATTCCATCAGCGCCAAGAACATATGAAGAGTTATTGATGGAAAATTTACGCAACTTGTGACCCGTCAGACAGCGTAAGGTTCCTGTTCGGTTTACAGATGACGCATATGCGATGTTTGGATCTATGACGTCAGAAATTGATGAACTAGAGAGCATTCGAGAAGCATTACATGGGAAGCATTCCCAACATTGGAAAGAAGCAATGATTTCTGAATATTCTTCTCTTCAAGACAACCGAACATGGAAATTGGTACCCCCAACTGGAAGCGAAAATGTGGTCGGCTCTCGGTGGATTTTCAAAGTAAAACGTAATGAAAACGGAGCAATTGACCGCTTCAAAGCGAGAGTGGTAGCACAAGGCTATTCGCAAAATAAAGGAACAGATTGCGATGAAGTATTTTCACCCCTAGCCCGGCATACATCATTACGAACATTATTGGCGTTAGCAAACGCGCATGATCCACCAAAATGGACGTTAAAACCGCATTCCTCAACGGAGACATTGATCATGATATTTATATGGCACAACCCGAAGGATTCATCGATCCAGAAAGACCTAAACATTTATGCAAGCTGAATAGAAGCATTTACGGCTTGAAGCAGTCGGCCCGCTGCTGGAACGAAACCCTGGATAAGTTTTTAAAGTCACGAGGATACCGTAGATCCAACGCAGATGGATGTATTTACATCAAATCAAAGAAGCAGAACGAACTCATTAAGTTTGTGATAATTGGTGTCTACGTAGATGACATCGTTCCTATCTCGAACGACATCACCATGCTAAAGGAAGAAAAGGAAGCAATCAGCAAAAGATTCAAGATGGAAGATAAAGGGAATGTTCAATTTCTACTGGGTATGTTGATCCGACGTAACCGAGAAGCTGAGGTTATCACGATTAGCCAGCACATCTACATCGAGAAGATTTTGGATAAATTCGGGATGCAGGATTGTAAACCTATCAGTACACCCCTCGAACCTTCAAAGAAGTTTTTTGAATGCTCGGATGATGAAGAGAAGTTTGACACGCAAACTTATCAACAGGCAATTGGATGTGTCACAATATCTTTCAGTAATTTCGTGACCAGATATGTCAGTTGCAGTAGGAGTCTTATCCCAGTTCATGGCAAAGCCAAGTAAAGAGCACTGGATTGGTGTGAAGCGTATATTACGATACCTAAAGGTAACAACAGATCATGGATTAAAGTTTTCGGCCGAAGGAAACCCTGACCTTTTAGGGTTTTCTGATGCAGATTGGGCTGGAGACATTAATACATGCAAATCAACATCAGGTTACATTTTTCAAATTGGTAATAGCACAGTCAGCTGGTCAAGCCGAAAACAAAGAACGGTTGCAAAGAGCACAACTGAAGAAGAATATGTAGCATTAAGTTACACCACGCAGGAAGCAATTTGGATTCAAAGATTACTTATGGACATTGGATTTAGAATGGAAAGACCAATTACAATCTTTGAGGATAATCAAGGAGCGATTGAACTTGCAAAGAATGCTAAGTACCACAACCGTACTAAGCATATTGACATTTGTCATCATTTTGTCCGGGTTCAGTCGAAAGAAGTCAATATTGTTCACTGCTCAACTGATGAAATGAAAGCCGATATTCTAACAAAAGGATTACCAAAATTTGACTTTGAGAAATTGAGATCTTTGATAGGAGTCATCACAACATGAACAGTATAGTTTAACGATTTATAACTTTTCATTATTTTATTTCGGTTAAGAGTTATCAAGTGGGAGTGTTAACAAGTGATAACTTTCCCGCGTAAAGTTTACTAACAGTAAATGTCTCGAATGTCTCGTTGAAATCAAGTTCGGGTATGTCTTTTGAAGTTTCTTTTAAAGGAGAACTTTATCTTTGATCGTAGTGTTAAATGTTAGCGGCATTTTGATCTTCATTCATGCAAAATATAAAGTCCAAATTCGTTTTTCCTTAAAGTTTCCGTTTTGGTAACTAATACTTGTTGTTCTAAGCTTGATTTTAGACTTAAACTTATTTCTTTACAA